TAGCGTCACGGATGACACGGCGAGCGATCGCACGCTTCTGTTTAAAATCAAGGAGTCGCTCTGTGGTTCTATTGTACGGTACCTGCCCATGCAGCGCGTTTTCAAACGTACTGCACGAGCACAAGCAGGAGACCACCAAGCACGCATTTCTGAGAATGCCTGCCCGAAGTTTGGGGTATAGAATGAGAAGCTGCGGTGAAAACGGAGGACGAGAAGAGGTGTAAAAGCTCATCGATGGAGGACGAAGAAGGAACCTCTTTAAAAACAGTCAGGTGTGAGTAAAGGTTCCAATTTGCCCGATTAAATTGCCAGCGTGGGGTGCGAAGAGGTGGCGAATATGAAGGGGAAGTAAGAATGATTGGGAAATGATCACTGTCATGTAAGTCCGGGAGAACAGACCAAGTGAAAGTCTAATGCGGCGGAGGAAGAGCAAACTGAGAGATCGATGCAAGAGAGAGTATGAGTCCGAGGATCAAAATGGGTGTGAGTACCTGTATTTAAAACATGGAGGGGGTGGGTGGCAAGAAAAGCCTCTAACTGAATTCCACGGGAATCACAGTGAGACCCCCCCAGAGGAAATGGTGGGCATTAAAATCACCAAGTAACAGAATCGGTGGCGGTAATGACGAAACAAGGAAGGCAAAATCCGGAATAGATAATGCCCGAGAAGGAGAGAGATATAAAGAACAGAGCGAATACCACCTATGTAAGTGGATACGGGCTGCTGTGTAATGCAGCGAAGTATGAACAAATAGCTGATGGTACGGAATATCAGTGCGGAGAAGAAGGGCACTTTCATTAAAGGTCCCATCAGGAAAAGGATCTGAAGAATACAATAAATTATAGCCTGAGATGTGAGAAATAACAGCAGAGTGTAATTTTGGTTCCTGTAAGCAAACACCAACAGGGGCAAACTGGGAGAGTAACATCTGAAGCTCACCCCGATTACCCCTGAGGCCGCGTATATTCCACTGTAAAAAGGCCATGATTGGCAATGATAAAGATACTTGAAATCCGCAGGTAAGGTTCTACGGACTAGAAGGGTTAGAAAAGTCCACATGCGGAGGCAGTGAAAATGTTCAAGCAGCGAAGGAACGGTGCGCTGTGAAGAAAGGAGTTGCGCAGATGGAGCAGAGGAGAGAGAAAGAGCGGAAGGTGGATCAGTGTCCATTGATGGTTTGGTCTCTGCAATATATTCAGAGATTGCTTCAAGTGTTTCGGAATTCAGAGATGTCGTATGGGAGACAATATTGGGAATGGTAGGGGGAGGATGAGTAAAGATTGGAACTGTATTGGACTGTACCAAGGTAGGGGGGGCGAAAGGGTGGAGGGAACTGGAGAAGCGTGGCAGGGGACAGAAGAGACAGGAACCTGGGAGGTGGCAGAAGAGGAAGAAACTTGGGAGGGAACAGGGGAGGAAGGTACATTACGAGGAGGAGGGTGAACCTCTGCACTTGTAACTGAGCCAGTGAGAGGGGAAGAACTAGGGACAGAGACAGGGAGGGTAAAATGAGGAGGTGGAAGATGGGTAGGAGGTGTTACCGGACCTTTTTTTGACTTTTGAGAAGTAGAGGGACGATTGGGAAGAGGTGTCGTACGAGGTCTCGTCGATACTGAGGTTGTAAGAGAGAACTCGAAGAAGCGAGATTAGACTGAGGCGTTGAAGTAGGGACGTCTGAGCCGAGGACAGCAAAAGGATTAGATACAGGAGTGATTATGGGAGAGGTAACCACAGAGGTGGGTGTAGAAGATGGGAACAGAAGTGGGGGGACGTTTTGAACACGGGAATAAAGAAACAGTGGGAGTCTCCCTTGGAGGCGGAAGTTGAGAAACTGCCCATGGAATAAGGGAGACTTTCTGTCTTCTTAGAATGGAACGGTTTCCCGCTCGTTTAAATTAGCTGACAACGGTCGCTGAGGTATGAAGGGTGTGAAGCTCATGCTGTAATGGCAAGAGGAGATCGATTGCAAGAACGTGTTTAGAATGGTTCAGTCGGGCACCAGCAGACTGGGCATTCGGCGATAGATCTGACATATTTCGCTGGATTGGCCAAATCGCCAGCAATTTCGATCACATGTTGTGGTGTAGGATCACCTTTCGAAACTTGTACCGATGTCTGCTTTATAAACTGAGGATGGGAGTTCTCGGCTGTCATAAAGTTAAACGAGCACTATTGGAGGGTATCGTCTCCGCCATTTGGGCAGGAAGAAGTAAGTGTCTACTTGAGGATTGGGAGATCTTGGAGATCCAGCTTCGTTCAATGATGTCTCAGTGCTCACATTGTCTGGAAATTTCGTTGAAATATGGTATGGGGCCCAGAATGACGGTACCACTACAAGAATTTGAGGGAATGATGCTTTTCAACCAGAGTGACAGGAACAGTATCGATATGGGGAAAGACGAGAGAGGAGAGTCATGAGCCTGGGGTAGCATTCTGTACGGTAATGATGCGACGTACCGCTTCATAAGAGCATGAAAAGAAATTCTTTTACAAATGGCGTGAATAGGAGAGCCTTGCATTTTACTATGGTCAGAAAGAAGGCAGTAGGAGGGAAGTTGGTCGTAAAGTGAAGAATTTAGTCCATGTTCAGTTCGTGAAACTGAGCGTGGAAAGGTAGGTGAAGGACGTTGTCGGATCGATTTCTGAGAAGAACGAGAGGTGGGAAGTATATCAAGCAGGTAATTGTCGTTGGCGTTAGGCGTGGGACCAGAGTTGGTACGCGGGAAAGGGTCGGCAGATTTGAAAAACTGCCGCGCACCGTAGAGGGAGGGACGGAGCCCCCCATTAGTCAGAGGAGTGCAGAAGGTCAGAATAAATCGAAAGAGTCAGTCGAACTGGCCTCAGTACTGATGCGGGTGAGGATACAGCACGGTCAATAGTACAGGAGGCATGAGGAATGTCTGAAGAGTGGTCCAAAGACGAGGCGGGGTCAGAATGGGTTGCGGTATCAAGACGGGGCCCGGGGGTACCAGGTTCATGGACTAGGGCTGCCATGGTTAGGTTACTTCTTTCTTTTTGTTTTTAAGAAAAAAAAAGAAAGAAGAAAAGAAAATAAAAATAAAAAAAAGAAAAAAAAAAAAGGGGGGACCAGGGAGGGATAGGTCCTAGGAGGAATGAAAGGGCCAGAAATCTCCCTCCGCGCCCAAGAGGACCTCAGCACCGCAAGTAGCGCAGATGCAGCATGGAACCCGTGCCATACCCTACCCATCATGCTAGTAAACTAACAATCCGGGATAGCAACCTCACATCTGCCGAGCTACCTCGGTGGACAAAAGAGAGGGCGGCCGGATATCCGCACAAAGCATACCTCCTTCGGCCACCACCCCCGGAATCCGAAAGGTGGCTTCCAGAGATACACTCGTCGCCCGAAAAGACACCCAAAGCTACTCCGGGATACCGGAGAGGATCGGGAATCCCCAGGCGATCCAGATTCCACAGCAAACTACGCCACCGCTAAGAACCTCAACGGAATGGGATGGACCCCGGTATCCTTTCCTCTACCTAGGAACTAGCGCGCCTGTGGGAGAAATCCCAAAGGACAAAAAGAGGAAGGGCAAAAGGGAGGGGTAGGGAGGGGGAGGAGGAAAGGAAAAAGGGGAGGATGGGGAGGATGGGATAGGGGAGGGGAGATTGGGGGGTAATTAGGTTTGGTCTGAGGAAGAAGACCGATAGGTCTAATTCCTCAGACCAAGAGCCTCTTCACCACGCCAAGGAGCCCCCCTTGAAGAGGTACATACTTTCAAATGTTGAAAAAACGTAGATCTACGTTTGGACAGTTTAAGGGTTAAAGACAGCCAAGGATCTACTGGTAATCCCCCTTATGTATGCTGGGAGGCAGTTGAAAAGTCTTGGGCCCCTGACACTTATTGTGTTGTATTGTGTTGTCTCTTATTTATTTAGTAATTTAAGCATACAAACAGAGGTACAAAAAATACAGGTAAGAGCAGCATGCCAAAGCCACTTATATGCAAAGCATTACGGGCTGGCTTAAAATTAACTTAAGATTAACTAAGCAATGATGAAATCAGTGATAAAACATTATTGTAAACAGATAACTATAAAGCACAAATGAGTATTACAAAGACAGGTCATATGGTTGCTTGCATTGCTGTACATTCAGTCGAATGGAGTATTCTGTTAGGTAGTGTATTTAAAAAAATAATAAAGTTAGATTGGGTCCTAGGTTTAACTTTTGTGTGATATAATTGTGAGTAACATATAGGATATACAATTTATAAGGTTCAGTTATTCAGTATTTATTTGGTTTTGAGTGAGTAAGTGATGTTTGAGAAGAGACTTGAATTTATAAACAGGTAGTGTTTCTTTTATATTTACAGGTAATGAATTCCAGATTTTAGGCCTTTTATGTGCATTGAGTTTTTGCATAGCGTGAGATGGACACGAGGAACATCAAAGAGTGATCTGTGCCTTGTGTTATGGTCATGTGTTCTGTTGAGGTTGGCAAGGAGATGTTTGAGGGGAGGGTTAATGTCAGAGTTAAGTGTTCTATGTATGTAATAGGTGCAATAATAAGTATGGATGTTTTGTATGGTGAGTAGGTTGAGTGTTTTGAATATTGGAGGAGTGTGTTGCCTGTAGTGAGAATTTGTTATCATTCTAACTGCAGCCTTTTGTTGGGTAATTAGTGGTCTGAGATGGTTAATTGTTGTTAATTGTCTTATGCTAGTGGCACCCTTGCTTTTCATTGGGGGGGTGTTGCATCGTCTCCCGAGTCTTTTGCTTTCATGGGGAGTGATTTTCACGTGCAAATTTGGTACTAATCCCTCTAGGATTTTCCAAGTGTATATAATCATGTATCTCTCCCACCTGAGTTCTACGGTGTACAGGTTGAGGAACTTCAAGTGATCCCAGTTATTGAGGTGTTTTATCACATTTGTGTGTGCCATGAAGGTTCTCTATACATTTTCTAGGTCAACAATTTCACCTGCCTTGAAAGGTGCTGTTAGTGTGCAGCAATAGTCCAGCCTAGATAGAACAATCAACCTGAGGAGTGTCATCATGGGCTTGGCATCCCTAATTTTGAAGGTTCTCATTATCTATCCTGTCATTTTTTCTAGCAATGTGATCGATACAATGTTGTGGTCTTTGAAAGTGAGATCCTCTGACATTATCACTCCCATGTCTTTTACATTAACTTTTCACTATGTTGTGATTGCAATTTGTTTTATATTTTGATATAGTTTTAATTTCCTCATGCTTTCCCTATTATTGGAGTAATTGAAATTGCTCATCATTGAACTTCTGTGGCCTATTTAAAGATTTGGTTGACGTCTGCCTGGAGTCTTGCAGGGTCTTCCATGGAGGACACTCATGCAAATACTGTATAAACATTTAAAAATACACTAAAAATTTTATAAATGGTGCAAAGGTGACAGTAAAACAATATCAAAGATGGTTGGCACAAACCCACTTCCATTACGGTATGTTCCTCGCTTAGTGACAAATTCATTTACTGACGTGGTTTAGGAACAGAACTCCGTCGATAAGCAAGGAGAGGATGTACTGTTAACTTTTTTCTTAGTGCTTCATTTATAATTTGTGAGTTGATAAAACTAAACATACAGTATAGGGCTAACCATAACCAATCTACTTACTGTATTTATTATATTACATTGAGTTGGGGATAAAGCTCTGTTGTTATTGCAGTCTGTTAATATAGATACAGATGGTTCTCGGCTAATTGGCAGACATTTACGTTTTCCTGTTGTACATTCTAAAAATAGCCGAAAGTCTTCTTGTGTGAAATTTATTTTATTGGAAGAATATCCATACCATCTGAAAATGTATAAATATAAATTTATGGTGCAATTTTGGTAAAGGTTTCCTCGTCCAACAATAAAAAGAGTAAATTAATACATTTTTGTGATCTTTCAAACTTTGTTTATCTTTTACTCCTTTCCCAAACCCCTCAAGGAAGGTTCCTTGATGTTGGTGAGGGGCTCTTGATTTAGGGAATTGGATCTGTGCTCCAGTTCCCCGAATTAAGCCTGAATGCCTTCCACATCCCCCCCCCCAGGCGCTGTATAATCCTCCGGGTTTAGCGCTTCCCCCTTGATTATAATAATAATCCTTTCCCAAATCAAAAACTTAACTGGCACCTAAAAAAAAAGTTTTAAGTTACAATAATCAAGTCAGATTATGCAATACAGTATTTTACTTAAGTATATATGCAATGAGTAGCAAATGTTAAGGAAATTGTAAAGGGAGATCAAAATTTTTTTGCTATTTGCTTTATTTGTCTAGATTTTCGAATAAACTTAATGAAGATTTTCATAGTTATTATATGATAGGCTATTTAGTTACTGTAGGATATTAAGATCTTTTAAAAATGACAATATTACAGCTACAATATCAGCAATTAATCCAAACTTAATAGGTATTCTACAAATGACTTGACAAACAATAGTAAAAATTTCTATAATTGTTCTCAGGGCACAAAGATGTTTTAAGAATACATAAATGTTACATTATACAGATTTAACCCAAGATAACCTACTTTTTCAGTCAATTTCTTTAATTTTAATGTAGAGATATTATGCACATCTTGACATACATTAGGACTAGGCAAACTGAGCTACAGTAATTTCATACTCACAGTAAGGTTGTGAAATCTGTGACATTTTCTGGCTGGGGTCCCCAATTTACATTCCAGTGTATACTGTGATTACCCTCCACAGCCAGGGAGAGTTGTGCCCAAAAAATAATATAGCCACCCACTGTTGCAGCTAAGACATTCCACAATAGATGCATTGCTTCTTGGTCTTTTCACTATCTGCAGCAGAATGTTCAAGTAAGCAGCTGTAACATGAACTTTAAATTGATGATAAATTGATTTTCAAGTTTATCCAGCATTACAAATGATGAAATAATGACAAATACCTCTCCCGCTGAAATGCGAAATTTACTTTTTTGGGTTTAATGCACTGGCCATCTCTCACCAAGGCAGAAAAAAAAAAAAAAAAGAAGAAACTTTCACCATCATTCCCTCCATCAGTGTCACTGAAAAGTGTCATTTATGACTACATGTTTGAGATGAACATTGTGGTCAACAGTAGTAAAAGTCATTTGTAAATCAATATGAAGTTCAAGTGCTGAAAAAACTGTGTTGAGTATCTTACATTAGTGTGTCATTTGTGTTCTTTTTCCAAGTCTGAATCTTAAGTGACAAGAACTATTATAATCAAGGGGGAAGTGCTAAACCCGTAGGATTATACAGTGCCTGTGGGGGTGATGTGGAAAGTATTCAGGCTTAATTCAGGGAACTGGAGTACAGATTCAATTCTCTAGATCAAGAGCCCCTCATCAGCATCAAAGGACCTTTCTTGAGGGGAAAGTGACAAGAAATAAACACTGTCTTTAGGTAAAAGACATAAGCAGTATATCTCATTTTATTTCCTAGTACATCTCCTTTTATTTTTTAAATAATAAATTATTAAAAGGACCCCAATGGAAAAAAGTCACTGACTTTTTTGGGTTATCCTTGGTAATCTACACATATGCCGATATGTATGATCATTTATGTAACTATCTATGTGTACCTGTAAGATAAGAGAGAGAGAGTACTTGACCTGAATAAACTTATGTAATGAGGACTATTAATAAAACATTTTGCTATGAGCAGATGCTTCAATCTGACTGAAGAAGCCACTCATGACAAAAATATTTTTTCATTAATATCTATCACTGCATACTTGTCTTGCCTATAATTTGTCAGTATCACCATACCAGTTCCAGCATATTACATCCATGGGGAGTGCTAACCCAGAGTGGTCCTACATTTCCTTGAGGAATGGGAAGCAATCATTCTTGATCCAAGGAAAGGGAGGGTAGCTCAAATTCTTTGGATCAAGTGCCCTTCAACATCAAGACAACTCTAGAAGGGAATATTCAAAACAATATTATGTGTATGTACAGGGAACTAAGTAAGTAAGTAAGTAAGTTTATTCAGGTATACACAAATACAGTTACTAAGAATTATCATACATAGCAGCATATGTGTAGAGAACCTGGGATAACCCAAAAAAGTCAGACAGAGTGACTTATTTCCATTGGGGTCCTTTAATACCTAGGTTAACCTTCAATCAAAACAAGCTCTTAATTTCCCAACATTCTGTTGATCACATTCTTCTAAGGTTTAATCGCTGTTGTTCTTGGAGTGATAAAGAATGTTCATTCTTTCTGTAGTTCTTGCTGCCTATGGTCAATACAAAATCATGCAGATCAACAATAACCTGGTTGACCAAGTAGTCACAAGTGTAGCCTTACTTAAGCCGGGCAAGAAGAGCAGAACTCTCAGAACTGGTTACAGGTATGTCACAAGAATTAGTAAAAAACTCTTGTATACCTGGACAATGTCTCTAGCACATCCTCGTTTCTTAAAGCCCATTCTTGCTGTCAGTTCTGACAGCAGCAAGCATACAAATATAGTGATATTTCTCAACCCCTCCTAAGCACATTACATTGGTACCCATTTCAACACTATCTGCCTTTCACTCGAACAAAATCTCTAAATTTGCAGGTGATCTTGCCTTTGTTGAAGGTCGTGCCTGCTGTCCTCAAGGTACAGTTAAGGCAATTTAAGAATTTAAGTTTCTTCACTTGAAGAGGTTTTAAATTAAGCTTCATTACAGACCTCTCTCAGCATCTGCAACTTCACACAAGTTATATAAATTCCAATTTTCTTGTTTACAAAGATATTATACCAGTAAAAATCTATTTTTGTTATAGAATAAATATACAATTAAGTGTTACACATGTGTAATACTAACAGTGTTAGGAATCATTAGAGTACAACCCACCTGACAATGACGTTCCTGTTACAGGCGCAACATGCAAGGAAGTCACGAGACACTTAAGTGACTCAGCTAAGTGAAGTAGAATATATAAGTGATGGCAGAGGAGACGTGTGGGCAGTGCTCACAGTGTCAGCAGTGACTACAGTGTCAGCACTCAGCTCAGCTGCCACGATTCAAGGCAGACAACTCCTCCGGCTTATTGCTACCCTCACCAACAATCAGCAACACTTCCAACAATTTACCAACAAATCTCGATAATGCACACATAAATTCAAACAAATATTACCTCATTATACTTCGCACCTTATAAATGTATAAAGTAAATGATGACTACACTCGGAGATAAGCATTAAGTCCGTAAAAGTTTATTTCAAAAGGATCAAGTTTAACGGGAGGTTAAGACATCGTCTGCAGTGATTGTTAATGATGACTACAAACCTGTGTAACTAGAGAGACACTAGCATATAATAATGGTATTAACATATTACAGCCGTTTTAATACAATATGTTTTATTCACATATCGTCTTCAGTGTTTATGATGAGATCTGTTATGGGGGGAGGGGAAATCTTAGGTATCCCCGAGGGTAGGTGGGGGAGGAAATCTTAGGTATCCCCAGGGTGGGGGAGGAAATCTTAGGTATCCCCGAGGGTGGGGGAGAGGAAATCTTGGGTATCCCCGAGGGTGGGAGAGAGGAAATCTTAGGTATCCCCGAGGGTGGGGGAAGGGGAAATTTTAGGTATCCCCGAGGGTGGGGAAGGGGAAATCTTAGGTATCCCCGAGGGTGGGGAAGGGGAAATCTTAAGTATCCCCGAGGGTGGGGGAAGAATACTGGGTATCCCCGAGGGTGAGGGAGAGGAAATCTTAATTAAGTATCCCCGAGGGTGGGGTAAGGGGAAATTTTAGGTATCCCCGAGGGTGGGGGAAGGGAAATCTTAGGTATCCCCGAGGGTGGGGGAGGAAATCTTAGGTATCCCCAAGGGTGGGGAGAGGAAATCTTAAGTATCCCCGAGGGTGGGGGAAGGGGAAATCTTAGGTATCCCCGAGGGTGGGGGAAGGGGAAATCTTAGGTATTCCCGAGGGTGGGGGAGGGGAAATCTTAGGTATCCCTGACGGTGAGGAGGGGAAATCTTAGGTACCCCGAGGGTGGGGGAGAGGAAATCTTAGGTATTCCCGAGGGTGGGGAAGGAGAAATCTTAGGTATCCCCGAGGGTGGGGAGAGGAAATCTTAGGTATCCCCGAGGGTGGGGGAGAGGAAATCTTAGGTATCCCCGAGGGTGGGGGGAAGGAGAAAAATTAGGTATCCCCGAGGGTGGGGGAAGGAGAAATCTTAGGTATCCCCGAGGGTGGGGGAGAGGAAATCTTAGGTATCCCCGAGGGTGGGAGGGGGGAAGTTCAAGAGTTTACCAGAATTATTTTTCCTCTTTCTTCCTCCAACTTCTCGTTTTTATTTGCCTCATAACTCAACAAGGCTTCATCCAATCGACTTCAATATTTCAACACTTTTGCCCTGTCACTAATGCCACATTTTTGACACGCATGTGCGAGTGATAAGGTAAGATTTACTGGGATTTTGAACCCTGGGGAAGGTTAGCTGCCCAGGGAAGTCAGTGCGTCAAGGACATTCTGTCATGTTTACATCGGGTCTTTTAATCTTGTTCCCCAGGATGCGGCCCATACCAGTCGGCCTACTGCTAGCTGAACAAGGACAGCAGGTGTAAGGAAACATGTTCAATGTTTCCACCCATGCCTGGGATTGAACCACAGACACTCAGTGTGTGAGAGGATTATTATAATCAAGGGGGAAGCGCTAAACCCGGAGGATTATACAGCGCCTGGGGGGGGGGGGGGGGTGGAAGGAATTCAGGCTTAATTCGGGGAACTGGAGCACAGATCCAATTCCTTAAATCAAGAGCCCTTCACCAACATCAAGGAACCTTCCTTGAGGGGTGTGTGTGAGAGGAATGCAGTGCCAAGCCACGGGACACCCTATGACCACAGTTATTGAACCATTTCCAGCATCCTGGAATAGCTTCCAGAAAAAGGTGCCACCTAGTTCGACGATGGTGGAGAATGAAATTCAAACGTAGGTGCAGATCTGACCATTTTATGTGTAAAATAGTGACATTAAATATTGAACGGCTTCAATATTTAATGGCTGATACATCTTACGGGCAGGATAATGCCCATTAAGTTTTGTTTACATAAAAGTAAATTTGTTGTAGTGAAGTAATTCAAAACAATTTGGAATTGTTGGAATCCGTGCCGTTAATGGAGACAACTCATCTGATCGGCTTGAAATTTTTACCACGTGTGATTTCTTGAACTCAAGGCTCATGCTGTTACTGGGTAGCCTAAGTCCCAGGCCTCCTGGTTGCTGACTTAATTAATCAAGTTGTTGGTTCCTGCCGCCCCCACACCAACGTATGATAAATTAGACATATGTGCAAAACTTGGGTATCTTTAATGAGGGGCATCAAGATCAAGAACCCCTTCCATGGGGGTTATCAAGAACCCCTTCTCATGAGGGGTTTCAAGATCAACAACACCCTTCCATAACGGGGTATCAAAAAACCCCTCCTCCTTCCATGAGGGGGTATCAAGGACCCCCTCCCCTTCCATGAGGGGGTTATCAAGAATCCCCTCCCGCTTCCATGAGGGGTAACAAGATCAAAAAAAACCCACCCCCTTCCATGAGGGGTATCAGGATCAAGAACCTCACACCGGCACCAAGGCCCCCTCCTCCCCGTTCCATGAGGGGTACCAAGCACAATCCAAGGACAGAGATCAAGCTTTCCTTTCTTCATTCGCCTGAACTTTAGCGCTGTATAACCCTAACGGGTTTAGCGCCTAGTCTCCCTCCTCGAGCTGACGCATTGGTCTTTAAACCTGTACTGTGTGTGGAGTACGACTGTGTGTGGAGTACGACTGTGTGTGGAGTACGACTGTGTGTGGAATACGATTGTGTATGGAGTACGACTGTGTGTGGAGTACGACTGTGTGTGGAGTACGATTGTATGGAGTACGACTGTGTGTGGAATACGATTGTGTGTGGAATACGATTGTGTATGGAGTACGACTGTGTGTGGAGTACGACTGTGTGTGGGGTACGATTGTGTGTGGAGTACGACTGTGTGTGGAGTACGACTGTGTAGAGTACGACTGTGTGTGGAATATGACTGTGTGGAGTACGACTGTGTGAGGAATACGACTATGTGTGGAGTACGATTGTGTGGAGTACGACTGTATGTGGAGTACGACTGTGTGTGGAGTACGACTGTATGGAGTACGACTGTATGTGGAGTACGACTGTGTGAGGAATACGACTGTGTGAAGTACGACTGTATGTGGAGTACGACTGTATGTGGAGTACGACTGTGTGAGGAATACGACTGTGTGGAGTACGATTGTGTGTGGAATGTGGAGTACTACTGTGTGTGGAGTACGACTGTGTGGAGTACGACTGTGAGGATACGATGTGTGGAGTACGATTGTGTGTGGAATGTGGAGTACTACTGTGTGTGGAGTACGACTGTGTGGAATACGACTGTATGTGGAGTACGACTGTGTGTGGAGTACGACTGTGTGTGGAATACGACTGTATGTGGAGTACGACTGTGTGAGGAATACGACTGTGTGTGGAATATGACTGTGTGGAGTACGACTGTGTGGAGTACGACTGTGTGGAGTACGACTGTGTGGAGTACGACTGTGTGGAGTACGACTGTATGTGGAGTACGACTGTATGTAGAGTACGACTGTGTGAGGAATAAGACTGTGTGGATTACGACTGTGTGGAATACGAGTGTGTGGAGTACGACTGTGTGGAATATAACATGACAACCATACTCTGCTACTCATCAAGTGGGGTGTCCCTTAAAGGAGGATCTTGATGCCGACGAGGGAATCTTGATCCAAGGAATGGAATATGTTCTCCCATTTCCTGGATCAAACCTGCTTACGTTCCATTCCTCTTGCACTGTGTGACAGCCCTAGTTTGCCTTCCAATAATGTGCATTTTCTTTAAAAAAGATAATTTCTTTTAATATTGTGTTCGGATCGTTTAAGGATGAAGGGCTCTTGATCCATGGAATCTGAGCTACCTTCATCTTTCATGGACCTTATGTCCTCCCATTCCCCATGCAGGTGTTGTGACCCAATATATTCGTTAAGTAATTTTCCATGATATACTACTACTACTACTACTACTATTATACTACCACTACTAATACTACTACACTACTACCACTCTACTACTACTATACCATCACTACTACTACTACTACTACACTACCACTACTACTACTATACTACCACTACTAAACTACCACTACTACTACTATACTACCACTACTACTACTATACTACCACTACTACTACTACCACTACTGCTACTACTACTACCACTACTACTACTATACTATCTACTACTACCACTACTACCACTACTACTACTACACTACCACTACTACTACTATACTACCACTACTACTACTACCACTACTACTACTACTGTACTACCACAACTACTACCACTACTACTACTATACTACCACTACTACTACTACTACTACTCTACTACTACTATATTACCACCACTACTACTACTACTACTACTACTACTACACTACTCTACTACTAATACTACTCTACTACGACTACTACTACTACTCTACTACTACTACTCTACTACTACTACTACTACTTCTACTACTATACTAGTACTCTACTACTACTACTGCTTCTACTACTATACTAGTACTCTACTACTACTACTCTACTACTACTACTACTACTACTACTACACTACTACTACTACTACTACTACTCTACTACTACTACTACTACTCTACTACTACTACTACTCTACTACTACTATACTACTACTGCTCTACTACTACTACTCTACTACTAATACTACTCTACTACTACTACTACTACTACTAATAATAATAATAATAATAATAATAACAATAATAATAATAATAATAATAATAATACTGTGACTAATACTTGAAAATAATAAGAGTATTGTACACGGTAGTGGATTTTTTTTTTTAAGAAAACTATCCTGTGATTATCATTTTTACATTCGGGGAAAAGTACGAAACCCGTAAGGGTCATACAGTGCCTAGGGTAGACCAGATTTACTTCCTTTGGTGATTATATTCAAGGCGCCTTCCATGGGGGAGTGTCATGACATCTCACTGATG